ATCCCAATATTTCTAGGTGACTCAAGAGTCTTCACAAAAAAAAAAAGAGTTTATCAAAAATATTTTGGGCAATGGCTAGTATTGTAAAAATTGGCTATCCACGAGACCTATCCTCTCTAACTCGGGTTTTCTTTTGTCCAGCCAAATTGACACTACATTGGCTAGAACCCAACCTCAACACAAATAAAAGTTACTATCGAAAAGTATATAAATTGTCACCTAGATAGATCATAAAGAAATAGGTAGAAGATTGTAGATACTTGTGGAGGATATTGCCACATTTTTTGATTAGTACCAAAGCCACATCGTGGTATTTTTTGGTATTCAAGATTACGGAGGTTTCGGATCGTAAGGGGTGAGGGGTTGCATCTCATATATATGCACACACACACAAAATCCTCAATCGTTTGAAAAGGAGGCACAAGCATGAATTTTTTTTGAAAGTGTGAGAGAAATTCTTTTAAGATTTATGAAACATTCTTCATAGCATGCAGAGTGTGCTTATAACAAATAATATTAAAAAAAAAAGTTAAGTCAATTCCCACTTAGGTCAACAAAATTTTTTTTATTTTAGTAACATTTTATTAAATAATTATAATTAATATAAATATGTATATACATATGATAATCACAATACTAAGTGGCAAAATAGAAAGCGATTTTCCTTGCAATTTTCCATTTTCCTTTCTGTATATGGTGTTGGACTATTGTTTTTGTTTTTGTTACTATTAATTCATTTATTAAATTTAATTATTCCAATAAAATAGCATAGTAAAAAGAAATCACATCCCAGAAATTAAGCCATCCCAAGTGGAATTCGAACCCACGACCTTTGGATGAGAAGTCCAACGCACTACCAATGGCGCTACGGGGACTCAACGAATAATTTTCCTTTCTATATATGTAGTTAGACTATTATTTTTGTTTTTTACTATTCATTTATTTTTTAATTTAGTTAATGAATTAAAATATTTGAAAAAATAATAACACACATATCAAGTGTCATCCACTACAAGTTTAAAAAAATTTATTTGAATTTATTAACGACTTTTATTTATTTATTAACGATTTGAACATGATATATATATATATAGGGAGACAGGGGAATGTGATATATATATATATATATATATTCTGTAGTAGGGATTGAAAAGGAGAAAGTTTAGAGGGTTTTTTGTGTTCCTCAATTATAAAATAAAAAATAGTGTGAAATCTTTTAAACTGAAAATTAAAATAAAATTCTCCCATTTTCGCATTCTGCGTTATAATGCTTAATTACATGCATTAAAAAATTTGCCTTTTTTTAGAACATTTTGGGCAAAAAAATTGACCTCTTAAGTGGCTAAGAGTTTCTATTGCGTAATTAATTAACAGCGTATGTATGGTAAGATCACTGCATATTTACGAAAACAAAAGAAAAATGTCTTCTGTAAAATATGAGTTCATTTGGTAACCCACACTTCAAAGATTAGAGATTAAAAAGTGCGATCTCGGAAAAATTGGGAATCTCTGGTCTCCTAGGCTTCACATGGGGGCAGCAGTAGCAGAGTTCTCATGATCGAGAACTCACGTTATTGACGTTGCATTTGTCGAGTGGTGCGTTCGAGTCCTACTACAATAAAAGATTCGTAGTTTAGAGGGGTTGACGCACGATAAATCTGGCGTGGCTCAAAGTGTAGAAGTTTGTATAGTGTAGAAGTTAGGATGGTGAGGTGCTACCTCAGATATCCTTGTTATTTGTCCGTGGCTCAGAATTACATACGAGATCTTTCATCAACAACTATCATGTTGCTTCAGAGTGCAACGTTATTAAACAATCAATCAATAAAGATACATCATATACTTGGCTACAGTAGTCAAGTGGTTATGGTCGCGAACTCGTGGCCGGTGTTGTCAAGTCGTGAGTTCAAATCCTTATGTCCCTGAAGACCCAAAGTGTTAAGAGTCCTTTGCGCGTTTAGTCAGTCGAAACTCAAAGTATGCCCTTTGGCAGGAACATCTTAAGGTATGGGCCAAATGTGCCCGGGGCCTCGTTTTCGACTTTCTCTTAATAAGATCATGATTCTGTAATTTTAATGGTCAAATATTATTCCCGTGCATATTCTCCAAAAAAAAAAACAGGGAATTTCAAACTGCATGCCAACTGGAAAAAGTGATAAGACTGTATAATTATATGATGACCGTTGTCCATGTGTAGGCCTAGGCCGAATACTATAAACAATAATTCAACTGATTTAATCGAAATGCGACCATCGTTCGAGCCGATTTGTTCCTAGGTTTGCGAGATTGTGAATCGTGCACATTTATTTGTTTCAAATTACCGTTTGAAAGAGTATTATGCTATATACTGTCTATACTATATATATATTTACCCTTTCGCAATGATTGTGTCCTATATGCTCCAGTTTCAAACCCCCTTACTGGGGGGGGGGGGTAGGCCATTCAATGCAACTTTCCATGGGGACGATCAGTCCTGTAGTTGAAGTACGTACCACGATTCACCGGTGCATCACCCAGCTGCCGGTGACATTTGGGGTGAAAGTATATGCGACACACACCCATCTCTAAAATGTTTTTCGTTCATCGTCGCGAAAAGGTTAAAGATCTCAAGTAGGGCCTACTTTTGCATAGGAGCCCAGGGCCTTAAAAAGCCAAAAAGCCTTAAGATTTCTCTGGACCCAGGGCCTCAAAGAGTCTTAAAACGTCCCTGCCCATTGGTGAGGTGTGGAAGTTAGAATGAGGATTCCAGTTCAGGTGTCTTTCTCGACGCTGATTAAAAATTAAGAATTCCGCCTCCAATAGACCTTTTGTTGCTTCAAAGTGAGACTTTAATTAAAATCAAACTGTCGCATGACTATAGTTCAAAATTACGTAATTCATTTATCTCTCTCGAAGCATATGGCTTAAGTGCTATTACTTTCAACCAAACAAACAAAAAATTCTAAATGATCCACAGCCTGCATCCTTAATATCTTAAAGCAGACCAAAAAAATATATTGCAGCATATGAAAAACAATATGTGCAAGGGCTTAATTTTTGTACTACGCATTAATGAAGTACGTACTTGAGATATTAACTAGAATATGCACCAGGTTTTTTTTTTCATGTCAGCATTAATTAAAGCTTTATATAATATTTCCCTAACCCTTTTCGTCGAATGAAGGGAGGCGAAGGGTCGGACAGCAGTTAAACGAAACTTCTTCCCACCATGCATTATTGAGCGTTAATCATCGAAGCAGAGAAGCCCGAGATAGCTGTCGTCTCCTTAAGTATCCAGGAAACAGGAACTTTTCCCGACTCCCGGATAATTGCGTATCCCGGACGACGGCTCTAAATAATGCAACCGCTTCCGTCAGGTGTCTCCTTACGAGAGGAATTCACCGGACTGATTGTTCGGCCGCTTTCAGACCAGAAAACCAACAGGGAATCAAATATTTTTGTGACCACTTACACTCAGAAAATGGGCTGCAGACTGCCTGCGAGGGCTTCACTTGAGGTCGTACGTAGAAAACTGAAGGATTGGACTTGTAAGGTTTTAAATAGCTCTAATATGCATTGTTTGTTTTACAAGTTATTTGTTTAAGATGAATGTTTAATTATTTAATTTATTGTTTTATGCTTAATTATGTTTTTATATATCTAAGGTGTGAATACAAATTTATTCATTCATGATATCCCCATTAAACTTATTCTTTAAATCAAGGGTGTCCAACACGCGGCCCGCCGACTCTTTTTAAAAAAAATTTAAATTCCAGGTTTTTAAAGTTTTTTTCATTTTGAAATTTATATATTTAAGGAGAAATTTATATGTATATATATTTATTTACAATGCATTTGCCTGTTAACTGTTCTTGTTTTAAAATAAATCCTTTTTGTGATGATAGAAACGTCCTTTAGATTAAAATAGATTTATATTTTATCAAACAGTTACGTTTGATTTTACTATAATAAATTACTTTTTTAATGAATTCCGAATTGCATTATGCATTTCCTTTACTATGGATGGTACATGATTGTTTGTGTGTGGGACTTTCATTTCTCCTCCTCCTTTTCTGTTTGGAGTACCCAAAATGCAAGAGGCAGTCAGAGATGTTTTTTAAAGTTTAAAAAAAAATTATTTAGGACGGCTAAGATAAAAGGCAATGTATACTTAATCGTTTGAGAATGACAGTACAATCAAATTTCAACAATGAGTAACGAAAGATTAATTCAAAAGGAACTCCGTAATTTTCAAGAAAATGGCATCTGTCACATATTTTAAACATTATTTGATCAGTTTATTATTATATTATATAAACATTATTATATTATCTATGTCTGTATACATGAAAAATAATGAAAACAGCAATAATAATTCATTTTGTTTTAAATTTTCACTCCAATAAATGTTTTTTTGTTTCCAAATCTGATGTAAATGTACATATTTTTATGTGCGGCCCGCGAGATTATAATGTTTTTTCCAAGTGGCCCTCAAAATCATTTGGGTTGGACACCCCTGCTTTAAATAATCATACTACGAAAATTGACTTGTAGGATAGAGGCTTAACATTACATTTTAAAGATGCTTATGTTGTTGTCAAGTGTTTCAACTTGGGATACACGTGAAAGACGACAGATTGATGAACAGAAACATACAGTACACAATCACAGAATATAGACTTTTATTATACAAACGATGATCCCAGCATAGAACAGAAGGGGTGCGCTGTTTTCCTTTCGCGAGACGGGAATCCATTTCAGGCGAAAGTCCGACTTCTTTTCCCGAAGATACATCCTTGCCTTATTCGGGATTCAAACCCGTGCCCTCTCGATTACAAGCCAAGTGTCATAATCTCCACACTGGGTGGTAAGATGCGTATTAACATTATAAAGGATGCAAGTTTGAACATAAGTTTAAATTCCAAACTTCATACCCAGCGAAATTATGACGTTCATGTGTTCAAACCCGAATTCCGCCCATCCGGTACAGTGGTTAGTGACGCTAACGTCCGTGTCGTTGAGCCTGGGTTCGAATCCCGGAGAAGGCATGTAATGTATGGTGGTGTAAATGTATAGTGCCTCTCTGTGCGGCATGGGGATACTCTAAATAGCAGTTGAGCCGCAAGTCCTCTTGTGAGGTTGGTGGAAGTGGGTGAGAGGCCTCTGACCATCTCCAGGGTGTTCTACTTCAAAATTGAGGTGGAACCGAGCCAAAACGTGATGTCGCCTGTATGGTGCTCAAAGCTACGGATAACGACAGGCATATAATTAGCTCTTTGCCGTGATGAATTTCCTGGGACACGATCTCGCTCGTCATACAGGTGGCATTACCAATAACAACAACAAAAACAAATTCCAACTCCACTTAGCGGCCGTGGTAGCCTAGAGGTCATGGTCATAAAATCGTGGTTCACGTGGATTTTATGTGGCCACAGTAGTCATGGTCACCAACTCGTTGCCTGTATTGTCAAGTTGTGGGTTCGAGTTCTAATGCCACTACCGGGTTGATCGGTCTCATTAAATCTGTCGAGACTCAAATCCTTGCGTTGACATAATGTGGAGAGGGTAGTGCCAGTTCAAGTGTCATCCTCATCACTTGTCCGCGGTTAAAAATTACGAGGTCCATCGCCAATAGCTCTCGTGCTGCCTTAAGTGTGACGTTCATTAACACTCACCCAAATTCCATTTAAGATCATCTTTCAGAAAAATTAGAGACTGTCACAAGGTAAACTGAGTTGAACCACAAAGACTTCAAGCATGGTGTAGAAATAAGGAGTCCCAAGTATTATTTGAAGTTTCCCCCACAGCGTCTGATTGTGATTTAAAATTATGAAGCCTATCGCGTCTTTAGCCTCTTATTTAACTCCCAAATCGCCATCAACTGAATTAAACAATC